TTATTACTCTCATCGTTCCCGCCGCTATGTCGAAATTCAATGTTGTGTTTCTGTTATGATTTTTTCAAGAATATTTTTTAGCCGGCCGTTTTAAATTATTCATAATTGTTGTGGGTGAATAACCCAGTAGGAACGTTCGTGAAGGTGTTGTCGGTGGCGTAGCGTATAAAATAAAACATTATATATATATATATATCATTATAGCGCACATAGCGTTCGTCGTTTGTTGTTCGGCCACAGTGCCATAGGAAGGTTCGACCGTCACGGATCAAAATATCGAAACGGCAACGTCGCACCGTTGCCGCCAACGACGTCGATCTTACCGCCGTAAGTGTTCGGTTTTCTCTCTTGCTACTCCTCACCACACCATGACTCCCTTCCGCCCTCCCCGTCGCTGTTGTCTCACGATCTGCTGGAGCACATATACCGCAACATCATCGCCGTATTCATACAATACCTGCACGATAATATCCCCCAGTACTACTCTGTAGTAGCAGGGAATCTCTCTGTCTTTTTTTTCGACCTCTTGCATTTTATAAAGACTCCGCGCAACTAGTTTATAATAAATAATACACTATTAATTTATATACGTATCCATACGCTTACCATCCAGTTAACGATAATAATCGTCTCGGTTTGTTTACAATCTATGGCTGCAACGACCGAGTACACCGCCGCACTGTGGAAAAATAGATTTTGAAATAATTCAATTAAAAACATTGTGTTTGAACCGTTGCAACACCAACGAAAACACATTGGACTTTCCGTGTGTTTTTTAATTTACGGGAAAACCAAATAAGAAAACAACGTACTAACGTACGAATGTGTGTCACATGTGTGTGACAACGATGTTTTCGCCGTTTACCTTCGTCGTTCCCGGTGAAATTTTGCTATATTTCTACTGTTTGTTTAGTTTTCATATAAATCGACGCCAACGACATCGTTTTCGCGGTTTTGCGTAGGGCGTGTCTCAAGTAACGTATTATCTTTTTGAAAACCGATTCGTATCGAAACTATCGGGTTTTTTGTAAACTTACCATATTTAGACTTAATTCTTGTTTCTCGATTTCCAGTTTTCGGTCGTTACTGATTGAATAATTGGCATTTTCTCCATTTCGTGAACGATTTGGATAAATCTATAAGTGTATTATCGGACAAACAACATTACAGCGAACGAAATTGATTATCTGTCGTTGCCCCATTCGTTTAATTCTTACATGTAATATTCATGTATTTAAAATAAGAAACAACTGTGGGCTAGTAGTTAAGTGTTTGTTGTGTGTGGGGTGGTGTGGCCGTCGGTCGGACGGACGGGCCGGCCGCCTGGCGTTGTGTATCGATGTGAAAGCCGGGAAATAGTTTAGTGTGTGCGTGGTGTGCGGCGTTGTTGCGTGCACGATTGGGCAACGTGGCGCTTGCGGGGCCAGCCTGGAAACACATACACACGCACACAGACGTGCTCGGGTCGGTGGGCGAACACCGCTGTGGCGGCGGGGGGTTCCCGGCTTCCCGTGATGCTCGTGATCCGCACCGCCGACCGAGCCGTGTCCGCCGTTATTTTGCGTTCCAAAGGCTTTTTAACGATGGCTGCTGCTTGCCATCCTTTTGTTTTTGCCATTTTTACCGCGCCGAATTTGTTTTCCACGCAAAAACCCGCTGAAAAATACTACTGTTCAAATTTTTCCGTGGTCAAGTCTGTAACATGTATAGCGCGTTAAAAACATTTGCATTTAGACTACGTGTTTTTCTTTCTAAGTCGCTAAACAAAAAAAAACTCGATTAAATATGGTCAAATAACGCACATAAGATGAATGGCCGATTTTCATGTGTACGTAGTGCGTTATTCCGTTCATTTTAATTTATCAAAACATATCATATGCATTAATTTGCCAATGTAAATTTTAACTAATGTTTGGGTTCATAAACGTGTAAAAAAATTTCATTGAGCATAATGGAGAGAATTTTCTCAAGTCGGTGCTGGTTATTCTTCTGTCATAAACAACGACGCGTATGTGAATAGTTTCTTTTATATTGAATATTGTTATTTCGTCGTTACCTGTATGCTTCAAATAAATGCTACGTGTTGGCTTTAAGATAGTGAGCAATTTTACGACCTTAGGTCAATGCAGTATCTATATAGAGATTGAATTCGCTGTATTAGGAATAATATATGTATATTATAAAATTATAATATTGCCAACGGATAAGATTGAAGAACCGGATTTTTCTTCACTACAATCATTATTATTATTATTATTATTATGTTAATTTATTTAGCCGTCAGTAGGGCTTCAGTATTGTCATGGCTGACTGTTTATTTCTTAGGGTAATCGTGGAAACTAAGTCGCTCTTTCGTTTTAACTGAGAATAAACGCAATTTTTCACTCCTAAGCATCTTTTAATTTTTCATTCAACGCTTAGCTGAATCGAGTATGCCTCAAATCCATTGGTGTTATTTTTTAGATTGTTACTGTTGAATGAAAAATCCAAAACATGTCCACGTGATAACTCAAACTTATGAAAAAACTATTATTATTGTTTTGATCTTGTCTTATCTACAGACACAGGACTATAAATAAACACATAGTAGCACACTAGATATACTGGAATGTATACATTATTTCACGTGTGTGTTTATATGAACTCTACGCTCATAAAAGTAATGTTTATGTTTTTGATTGACATGTAGATTTGGCATTTTGTTGTTCGTCGACTTTGCTTTTTAAAAAAAACTTTACCGTTTATTATTTATTAATTATTCAATTAACTCAATTATTGTAAAACGTGTTCTCGATTGAAGAATTCCTTTGCATCTGCTGTTTGTATCTTATAATATGTGTCGTTGAAAACAATTTTGTCGAATTAGCGTTCATTTATTTTCTATAATTAGCGTATTTGTTTGAAGAATAAAAAATGCTTTGGGTTGTTTTGTACACTACGCACATTGAAAGCTTATAAGAGGGATTGGAAAAACCATTTGGTGTATTCGGCATGAAAACATCTTTCCATTGTTGTGTAAAGGAACGTTGGTATCTCATTCGCTATTTTTACTAGAATTATCATTTTATCGTATGGATTGCCCGCCAACTAAATAATTTATAAACACAAATGATATCGAACGTCTAAGAATTTAAAACAATTGCACGTGTTGGATATCGGTGTACCATTTTAGGACACCTCATGGTTGTGAGTTATTTTTAAATATTCTTAAGTATTGCTTTCTAGAACACGATATATTTTTATAAAACGTTGTTAATGCGTATTCGGTTATTTATTTTGGCATTTTTTTTTTTTTTACAAACCCTGTTCAGACAACCGTTTCAGTTATTATTACGCGCAATATATTATTTTAAAATGGGAAAAATCCAATCTCTAAATCGCCGCCGGTCCATCGCAAGTATAACGTCGTTTAGATAGTTTTAACAAACGATAACCGCTTGTATTAAAAAATTTGAATAGCAAGCGGAAGCGTTTCGTTCCCCTTCGGACTGAAAAACACACTGAGCATTGCGGTTGCACGAAATTTATGAAAACTGTGTTATTTATCTTCCCTTAGGCACCGCAGTTTGTGGTGTACGTGCTCTTAAATTACGTTAAGTGCTTTGAAAGTGAAAAACGCTGCCTCGTATACTGAAAACGTTTTTCTTCTCTTCAACTACTTACCTAGTGGCGTGTCAATGGTACCTCGGGGGCGTGAGAAAAACAATTTTTCCATTTGAAATGACACGACACGATAATGTCGGTCGATTATCTGCAGATGTGCTACGCGCGCGTGTATATCAATTTTCTAGCGAAATTTAGCCACGTAAGTTCTTTTTTTATTAGCGACTAAAAATAAGTATTTTGAAAATGTACACGTTTGCGGTAATAATTCAATAGATTTTAATCTGACTTATCTCTCGTACGATTTGCACACGTGAAAAAAATAAAAGCTCACTATTATTATACACGACCCAGGGTATTATAAATAATGGCAATGCGGTTAATAATAACTGCGTCTAGGTTTATTTGAATAAGTTTTTTCGTCATTCCATAGCAAATGAACAGCGTTATTATATATTTTTCCGAAGTTATTATTTTTTTATTTAATTTCTCTACAAAACAGTTTTATCTTTAATTTTGGCGGTATGAAACGTCCTAATTATTATTATTTTATTCGATCGGTTACTCGAATCCACTCGTCTTGTATGTATTAATAATGTAAGTTGTAATTTGAATTTCGTTTTTCCGATTTGTTCATTCCTTTTTTTTTTTTGCGGTTAAAAAGAGTGTCTCGTGGCACACAGTCGCTTAGCATTTGCAGTTTTTGACCTTCAACGATGTTCAATATCGATCACGGCGATACTTATTCATTGAATTGTGTAAAATGAATTACTTGTATTATTTAGAAATTGTGTGTGTAACTTTGCTACTACTACCATGACGATTGTTGTATGTAAAATTGTCGTGTGAGCCGTTCGCTGGGGACATCTTATAGTGCGTGTCCTGTGTGTGCAGCAAACGTGTTTCTTTTTTTTTAACAGGATAAATAACTACCAGTGTATCTATGACGAACGCACGGGGCCGGTATTATGGGCGTCACGCAGTTGTGTGCCCGACGACAATAATAATAATAACACGACCGTTGTCCTCCGGAGACGACGACGAGCGAAAAAACTGTGTACGCTTATTGATTGACAATTCGGTGTAGAAAACGGTCGCCCTGTGGTAGATGTCACCCGGAGGAGTGTGCGGCGGTCGCCGCCCCCACTAACTTTTCTCTTTTTGGTTCATCGGCCTCGATCCATCCAGATACCGTGGTGTGTCGCTAAAAAATATCACCAAGAATAACAGCAACAAATAATTAACGTCGCTTGTTGTTGTTATTAGCCTCCTTTCCCCGTCTCTAGCATATGTTTCACCGATTTCGATCATTGTGCGATTATTGTTGTTTTGTATTAATTGTTTTTTTTTTTTTTTTTTTTTTTTTTTTTTTTTTTTTTTTTTTTTTTGTTCTACAGGTATGGACGCGTGCAGAGCGTTAAGATACTGGCGAGATCGAAAGAGGAGGTGGCGCTCGGCGGCAGTGGCGTGTGCGCCACCGTGTCGTTTATGGACATCAAGTCTGCCTCGAAAGCGCACAACGTGGAGCAAAAGCTGGACGACAGGTGTCTCAGCACGGAATACCACGAGCCAGCCGCCATCCCATCGGCTAGTCCGACGATATCGTCGCACCTGTATCCGGCCCCCACTAGGCCGTATATTCACGGGTAAGAGAAACGTACAACTTGAACTCTGCAGTTAGTTTATTCGAACTGTTCAACGATAGATGTGTATAAACAATAATATTAATGAGCCACATCGTGTATTATCTGTGATATATTAACTTTTGACGTATCTTTGTTTATTTAGCAAAAGCAGAATACTATTTGTGTACAACATGAAATTATTCATATTTATCAATTTAGTCGCATTAAGTTTTTATGGTTTCTTAAAGTTTTAATATTTTGAGTATACTAACGTTCGAGTCATCTAAGCTTTACTGTTATTTCTTTCATATCTGATCGTATAAAAATGTAATTTTCTTTGTTTTTACGGTATGAAATATTTTTTTATTGTCCTTGGTTTAATAAAAATAAACGACCTAGTCGCTTGCAAAATAGTACGTCATTTAATTAGGAACACGGCACTGTTTTTATAATGTTCAATATGAGTTTTAGCTGTATTTTCCATGTGTGCGTTTACTCACCTTCTGTTATTTTGTATTTAGTCCATTCTATCAAATTTCGGTTAGAAAAAATTTGTCATGAAATTGTTTCTACTGCCGGCCTCAATATTGATCTTATTTCCCTGTTGTTGGCGCATTAACATTGCATAAACACATTTTAATTCGATTTTAACCGTGTGTTGTAATGGTGCGCGATAATACTTTAAGATAAAAAATAACGGAGCAATTTTCGGACTCGGTTCTTATAAAGTTATTCATAGTTATTTACCTTTTCCCATTTTACGTTTGGTGCAATTTTCTGAACAATTAAATACACACGTACTCAGTAGTGTAGTTACAATGAAGACAATTAGAGAGTTTCATTAAGGAAATATAATTTGAGAATGTACAGGCTAGTCATTAGTATGGTTTTTATTTTTACTTATAGATCTATATCTTTGAGTTGTTCTCTTTAACTGTTCGCTACTTATATTTAACAATAAAACTCTCGTGAAGTAATATCATTTTATATTTTAAAAAGAGTAGAATTTTAACGTGATCGTTTTCTAAAAATAAAATTTAACTCTTTGAAGTTCAATGGAATATTTTAACTGTAAGGTATTTAAAATAATTATTTAGATCAAGGTTCGAAATACCGAAGTAGTAAAAATAGTTTTTTGTTCTTAATTTCAAGTTTAAACAAATGAAATGGATTAACGTGGTGTTTAACTTGTAATTTAAAAATATTCTTCTAAATATGATTTATTTATTAGCTTAAAAAAAAAAATATGAATTACTCAGCTGTTATTTTAGATTTAGAACCATTTAAAAATTATCGAGTGGAAAACCTATTAAAAACCCATTTTGCCAACGTCTACAAATTATGCAGCCAAATACATTTCCTATGCGCATTGCGTTTAATATTATTTTTTCCATTTAGAAGACGACTTGATTAGCTAGTAATAAAAATCGATCCCAAGTTTTATTGGTAGGTTTAAAATTTGTCTTCGGCGGAATATTAAAAAGTAATTTTTTTTCATTGATATAAAATTATTTATTTTTTATAAGAATAATATTAGAGCAGTAATGTCGTTTTGGCTCAAATTTGTCCCAAACGGGTTGCGTCAACTACTGTTATTCCTATAAGCCCTTCAGTTCAGTAGCATTTGAAAATGCATCACACTCTATTATCGGTTGTGTTTTGTGACGTAATATTGGTTAAAAAAAGAATATTTAAGATGAAATCATTTCGATTTATGCGAACCAAAACATAACCGTGTTGTGATAGCGAATTATTGTTATTTAATTATCTTTTCTAAACGACCTTATCCATTAGGACAGTAGTTTTGTGATTTAGACGAGCAACTACGTGCAATAGTTATCACATTTGCCTTGGTTGTGTCAATAAACAAAATGTCTTAATAGCTAATCGCGGAAATAATATTTTATGAAACGTTGCACGTCATTAATTTTGTCTATTCTATTAACACCCGACCGTAGTTTGTCATTCGGTTCCTTTGCTACGACGCTATACAGAACGATTATAGAAAATTGGTTATTTTATTATGGTAATGAACCTAGAAATGTAAACAGAAGTTTGAGAAATTTTGTTTTTATCATCACGCCGTATTAAACATTGATGAGAGGACAACAACAATCAATTATATTTCAATACGTTCCACGCTTGTATGAGTGCGCGCCGCTGACGTTAAGGAAAATTGATTAAACCGCGTTTCAATTATATTTTAATAATTAGTACTTTGAGAGGAATCAATCATTATCAAGTTTTATTGAAAATAATTATGACAACCATTAGGGTTTATGTATTTTGGCTTCTAAACCTATGAATGTCGAGTCTAACTAGGTGATCGTACTGACATTTATAATTATTTCACACTTTGGTCTTTAAGTTTGTATTTAATTTGATAAATTAGCGAGTATAATGTCGTAAAATTAACATTCGATACTATTTCTCATCATTAGATTTATTTTATAGTAGATTGTTCTAATTTTATTCGTCTAACAACCGACTTGAGTTATACTATCTAGTTTTTTAAAATACAAACTCGTTTGTTACTATAGCCTTTGCACGCATCCCAAGTATTTATCACTAGTGTAATATAATCTCGGTTTTGTTAATGCTCAACTAGTACATTGCGTTGTGTTTTCAATACCACTTTGATGAGTTCTCTTGCTTGTGCAACAGTTATCGATGAATTATCTTGATAAGTACTTCTGGCGTAGTAATCCTAAGTAAATTCATTTAAACACATTTTGTCTTGGACAGATAAATTTAAATTCTACAGTTTTCATTAATATTTGTACCTCATAATGTTCTAATGTCATAATTATTACTGTTAATTATGAAATGTTATTTATGCATAGATTAAGTAACGTTATATTGGGCTTGAATAACGAATATTAATAATTTACTTAAGTCATAAATAATATTTTAGTCGTACGTACGGAATTACTTTGAAATTCGATTACTTGCATCATCCTACTTAAATATTTACGTATTAATGTATTATTTTATATTTACATAATGTTAGAAAAAAATGAACTCTAATAATAACTTCCTTAATTGTGAGCGATACAACCATTCGATTAATGTTTTCATGGACGTAATGGTGTACTGCATATTGTGAGATCTTATATCTATTTTGTTTAAAAGTTATTTTTTTTTGCATTATTCTAATATGTCGAAATATCATTAATATGTGATGATATGAGAACTAAACAAGACTAGTGACTGGCAAAGACAATCCCTCGCCCAAAGAAACTAATGGCAAATGAGCACATACAACTATCGACTGACAACACTGATGTTTACAAATATAGTAAACTGTCTAACAGGTTATACTAAAAAAGATTCATTTGAAGGTCTTCTAATTCGCAGAAAAAAAAATACACTGTGTACTATTCGTGAAATGTCTAACCATTTTAATTCATTGAAACTGTTTACTATTTAGCATTGAGTGTATGTACTTGCACGCGCTGTAAACTCAATATTAGTAACCCGTGCCGGATTTTTTCTTGTGGGCGTTTCAGGTAATTCCCTAAGGTTTTAGGTCCTAAAAATCCATTATTAACAGTCACGTGATACGCGTGTGTTGCAAACGAATAACGATTTCATATTTTTTAGCATTAATAGTTGCTGTTTAAAACAATATTGTAGCGTATGCCCTGTAAAATCTCCGGTTCTTCTCGTGTTGATATTTTGGGGTTTTAATTATTCGACTATAAAATATTGCAGTATAATTTTTTGTTTTTACAAAAAAAAAAAATAATAATAATAATAAAACGTGTTTTGAAGTCTAGTAGATGATCCAATTTAATAGCTTTGAGTCGACATTTTATTGACGGGAAGTTCATTCATCACTGGTCGTTATGTAATCGAGTGAACATTTATTTTTGCAAAACCGTTTTCCGAACATATTGCTGCTAAACAATATTGTGAATATTTTGTTCGAATCGCTGCCGCCATCGAGTGCACTGAACTCGATTTCGTGGGAGCTTTCCCTATTGCCCCAACTGCGCGCGCGATGACGATGGCGACAGACGGCTCAACAAAGCCGTCGCCGCTTTCACAAATTTTTATAATTTCTCTCTTGTCTCATTGTGTGCAAAAGTCGAACGATTGACGGGGGAAAAAAAGTGTGTAATTATGTTCATCGCGAAACCCTTTAAAATAAAAAGAGCAGTAGAACGTTTCGTTTTATCATCGAACGCGTTGGTCACATTTGTAGTTTTTAATTTTGGCGCGTTGATGGATTGCGGACCGCGCGACGTCAACTGACCGCGGCGGCCAATGCTGGGCGACTGGCTGTCGATGAGCGGAGAGAACACGTTCGCCGACGGCCCCGTAGTTGTTGCCAAATTCATTCAACTGTCGTGTCTTGTTCGGCTCGTCGGCCGGTCCCGTACCCGCGTCGTATTGGAGTTGCCCGTCCCGAGTACGTACATTATTTTCTTAGCCCGCGAAACCGTCGAATGTAACGTGGCCGCCGTCGACTTCTCCACCCGCGGATCTTCACCTTCGTCATCACCCCCACTATTCCTATCATTCTGTTTGACCGATTTTTTCCATAATAACAATAAACTGTATACGTGTTATATATATATATATATTGACTCGTTCACCAACATGTTACGCGATGTTGGCCATCGTCTCTGCCCAGCCTCTCCTTAGCGATTTTATTCGAGCGAAGACCTCTTGACGATCGACGACGTCGCTGCTATTTTTTTTTTCACTCCGTCACGCCGTTCGCCTTTTGTCTCTTGGCCTGCAAATCCTCTGGACCCCGAAAACAACAACAGGGCGACGGTTTTCTTATTGTATTACTTTGTGTTGTATCGATACTTTTTTTTTTTTCTCGTTGTTCGCACTCTGTTCTCGTGTCGGTCGTTAAGGTGTGAAGGCCTAATGAACATCTCTGCCGTGTCCTCATAGTATGTGAACGTATACAACTTGATGTTTTTATTTTACTTTTATTATTGCAATTGAATTTATCTCAATTAAAAAACGCCTCGTCGGTCCAGTATTTTTTAATTAAGAATTTCTTTGAAAGTACTCAATTTACCATGATACGTATTTTTCAGGCAAACGCCATTGTTTTTATTCCTCTATTTTTTGTTTCGCGTAGTTGACAGCAATTGACTTATATCAGAAATATCACTTACTATTATCGGGCATTATTTATTATTATATATTAATTGGTATGATAATATTAGCTATTTAAAGAAAAAAGAAATATGTGAAATTACACTTATTGCCATATACTGAAAGTATAAATAAATGCTTAAATGCTCATGTAATCTTATATTATTTATTAAATATCTTTATATTTATTTGCGTTATTAATTAAATATTCGTTGTAAAATGACAAAACTTTACAGTTTGAAAATATACCCGTTTTCACCATAGACCGTATTTGACATTAATTATCCATTAACAAAAATTAGCCAATCAATTATTTTGATTGTAAACCACGAAAGAAAATTTATCAATGTTAAATTCGAGCCGAATATTTAATTTTTAAGTTTTATGTCAAAAAAAATATTTCGACTATTGTTAGTCGCTGGCATTTCATTTTAGAACTTTCGTCATTTTTCAATTAAAATTTCATCATCGGTTAATTATGATTGATTTATATTGGCATTTGAAATATCCTAATGCAACCTTTATTTTTTACGTTTAAAAATGCTTATTTGTTAAACTCTTGGAAAGTATGCAGTTTGATTTCTTAATGACTGTGAAACGTTATTTTCAATGGTGAGTGTATTTTGAAATTTCTTTAAAGTATTTCTTACCTTTTGAATTTTGTTACTTATCAAAGCTGGTCAAAGTCAAGCATACCAAACTATTGCTCTATGGCATGTCCCAACATAAAATGTACATTGTGGTGCATTATATTGTGTGATAAATTACCAAACCATTGGCTTACCTAACAATTTAATTTTCATGTTCAAGCAATTATAAATCTGACAGTGTAATAGTTGTGTTTTTTGTAACTTAAATTGATTCAAAACCCACTTGTTTAAAATGCATTCGACCTTTCATCGAACTATATTTGTCTCTGTTTGACTTTTATTTTTATTATTTAATCATATCGGCAAAGGTATTTTTTTCGCCGAGTTCAAAGTTCCTGTATAAATTACTAAGAAGTACGTTTCACGGATTGAATATAATAGAGAATAATAATGTTATAAATTCTATTTGTTGCATTTTTATTAATTTGTGATGAAAATTTTGATTTCTAGAAAATATGTACATGAAAGTTCTGTTTAAGGTATGTCATTAATAGTAAAATGTAAAAGTTTTGTTTGTAGGATAACAATTAAAGTTTATTTAGGTTTCCGGGTAAGTTTGGTATACCTAACCATTAATAATCTATTTTTCGGTATTATTATTTTGTTCAATATATTTACCGGGATTTTTTTTTTAATTGTACACATGTAAAAAAATACTTCTTTATATTTACTTAACCTTACAGTGCGCCTTGTCACACATTTACAAGTACAAAAATAGATTTTATTTGTTTGCTAGGCATGCATTTTAAGTATGGTGCATTTTGTTTGTTGGTAACTAAATTTAATAAATACATTTTTAAGCGAATATAATCATTTTGGTAATGAATTTAATCAATTATTATATTTTTTAATAAAAAAAAAAATTGTTTTAAAGAATTAAACTTGCTTCAGAAAAAGTATAATTTCTACAACTTGAGATTTTAATTTAGATTAAGTACATTTATATTTTTTAATTCAACCATTTGTTAATTAGTTTTGATTAAAATGATATTTTAGCCATCGGGTGATTAATTTAAACGTGTGGATCTGTTATCGTCGATGATCCAAGAATTATTTTATCAATGGTTATTTCAATTGTTGAAATCAACGGTGCCTACTAGAAAAAAAATTAAGTAATCTCGTTTTTGGTTAAAAAAATTTGCTGCTAAAATTTCTTACTCTTAGTACTTACTGTATTGCAACAAAAAAATTAATTCATGTATTTTAAACACAAACATTGTACTGACTAATATTTTGTCTGTAACGCAGATAACTGTTATTATCTATTTAAAATAATAACATGTCAGTAATACAATATTTTTGTTTTTGCCATGTTGATGAAATAACTATCGTCTTGAATTCTCTGCTGTGTGTGTGTAATACATCCGAGTGTAAATCTATACGTTTTATTATTTTTAGAAATCTCAAGTCGAATTTATCATACAAACTACGAATAAATTGAAATAATTTACAATATTCAAAATATTGAGTATTATGTGATTATTTTTTTTTTCCGCTACAGTTACCTGTATAAATCAATAAAAAGTGTGTAGTTCTAATGTGGTGTACCCATTTTTCAGCCATTGAATGCGTACCAGTGTTTTTATTTTCGATCGAATCCAGTTATTATTACTTTCACTTTGGCGTCAGGTTATAAAATATTTAAAATATACACAACGTAACGTGAAACGGTTTAAATGTTAATAATTTGAAGAAGAATCAGGCTAATTATTATAATTGTGGTTGATTTTTATAAATGGTTCCTATCTTCTTTGTACAACATCTATAATTAATTTTTTTTTTTTTTGTTCACAGGTCTCCATTAGAGGAACTCGGCAGCTTTGAACGTTCTAGTCATTTTTACGAACGCGAACGAGACGCTGGCTATCGCGGACGACCTTCCCCCGCTGGCTATCATGTCGTGTCTGCTGTCCAAGCATCTCCAGATCCACTTCGGAGTCGAGCCCGGGACCGAACCGTCTTTAGGGCGTACCCATCACTTGACAGGTATAACTATCATATGCAGTAGCGTTGTTATTATTTATAAGTTTTGGATCCTACTCCTCTGGATCTATTGGATTTATTGTTAAGAAACTTATAGCGATGATTCTGGCTGTGTAATTACATTTTGTGTTTTTGAAACACAACTACAAGTTTGAAGCGGCTGGCGGCTGCGCCTCTCCATTCACGAGTTTCCGTAAACTACTGATTTCGATAACCTTTTTTTTTTTTTTTTTTTTTTTCGTNTAAACTACTGATTTCGATAACCTTTTTTTTTTTTTTTTCTATGTCGTGTTTAGATATTATTTTGCGCCCAGGTTCTCTTTTGCAAGTATACTAATTTATTCAAGTAAATAAATGGAATTCAGCTCATATTTTAGGTTGAGCAAAAGTGTCTGTTGGATTTACAATTTTAAAATGTTGACTACAATAATAAAAAAATGTTTTCAATTTTACCAAATGCCGTAAAATATGAGAAAAATCATTTCGTTTCCGTATTTTTTGTTAATTTACGAAAGCACCAGAGATTATTTGTGTCTTTCACTGAATTCTTTGATTTTTTTTTTATAAGTTTGTCCGGTCGTCTCGTTTAGGTTAGGGTCGCCCACGACCACGTTCATTCGTTTTCGTGATGTAGAATACTGTGGTTTTTTTTTGTTTTTTATATTAGCTACAAAATAATAACTAACCGGGGTGCCAATTTTTTTTTTTTACTATTATCGCGGAAATAATAGGCAACTGTCGCACTTGTGTGTGTATTGTATAGAAGCAGCAGTATTGATTTGTTGGTGTTTACGGCACAAGCGAACGACGGCGGCGGTAACAGGATGCAAGCGAAGGGGTGTGCGGGAAGGGACTAAAGTCCTGGTCTTGCACAGCCCCATTAGTATTCCAACAGTTCCCTGGGGTTCTTTCGACATTTCGCTATTGCCTCGTTTGCGCCGTTGCTCCGCGAATATCTTCTCTAGAAATACAAAGTTTATATTTGAAACACTATTTTTGTTTTTCTATTCGTTTGCACGAACAGTAAATGTACACGTCATGAATGTGATCAATCGAGCAACGAGTTTTGATTAAAATTTTTAATCGTTACGGAAACCTAATAACTCGTAGGTGGTGTAACTGTGATACGAATGTACAGCAACAGGTCACTCTATACTGTTTTGGCAACGCACAACTTAAGCGATTTTTATTTTTTATTTTAGCGTTGTCGCTTCAAGTAGAGGTCACCATCATCGTGTAGGCGGCTGGGGATACGACTCAGGCAATCCGAGGTACACTCATCATCTAAGCAGCTCGCCGGATTTGTCCTATTCGGAAGACAGGCGAGTGGAACCGCCTTTAATCATCGTCCGAAATAAACACCTCAAACCTCCAAGGTATGCCATGGCTAATAGGCTATGTTTTTTAGTAGTCTACAGTTTTTGTCTGTTGTTTATCGTATTTACGTGATATTGAAAAATCTTATGTCTTGTCTTCTTGTATGCATATGAGTATGAAAACTCATTTCGAATGGTTTTGTTTGTTATTATAGTGAGTCTAGGGGGTGTAGTGAAGATCGTTCAGGTTCGCCTTCGAGTTCCGGTTCAACCGGAAGTCATTCAGGAGCGAGTAGTTCGTGTAGTTCGTCTTCGTCGCCCAGTCCTATACCACAGCTACCACGCAGTCCTAGTCCAGATCCCCCATTATCTGATAAATCTTCTTCGAGTCATAGGTAAGAAAAGATAACATGATCCATCAGCGCACTGAAATGTGTTTATTTTTTAATTAATATTGTCTTGCTCTTACTACAGCCATCATGGTAGCTCGAAGAGCAGCGCTGTTCCGTCCCACGTATCTGGCGTACAGTTACCGAACCTAGGGGGCTTGACGCAGACCGTTTCCGAACATAAAAGGCATCACGCCATTTGTATAAAAAACCTACCGTTGAGGTCTAGTGGTAAGTGAATTAATATATATATATATTTTTTTTTTACGTTGTTTTATTTATTTTACCAATATTGATAAATAGATACTAGTCTAAAAGACGGTTTGTACCACGAGTACAAGAGGCACGGCAAAGTGACGTGTGTCAAAGTGGTGGGCCAAGGGTGCGATAGGTACGCCTTGGTGTTCTTTAAAAAGACTGATGATGTGGAGAAAGCTGTACAAGTGTCTCACGACAAATCCTTTTTTGGTTCCAAAATCGAGGTATCGGCATACCAAGGATACAAAGATGTCGACGACAATGAAAGCAGGTATAGTATAATTTTATTATAGGTGGTTATTATTCTTTTGTTTTCAAAATAGAAATATGATTGACTTTTAATTGTGTATTTAATCTAGACCTTATGAGACGGAGCTGGATGAGTTTCATCCTAAAGCAACCCGAACTCTGTTCATTGGTAACCTAGAAAAAGATATTACTGCTGTTGAATTGAGGAAACATTTTGAGCCTTTTGGTGAAATTATAGTAAGTTTTAATTTATGATCATTATGACGAGTTTTTAATGATTTTGAAGTTAAATGTAATGAATACTTTTTTAGGAAATTGATATAAAAAAAGGGAATAATATCAATGGCAGTAGTACAGGAACATATGCTTTTTGTCAATATGTTGATATTACTAGTGTTGTTAAAGCTATGCGGACACTTGATGGAGAATATCTGGGACAAAACCGTATAAATCTTGGTTTTGGTAAATCTCTTGCGACCACTTGTGTTTGGATTGATGGTGTTGCAGAATCTGTTAGTGAGAAATACCTTGCATCTCACTTCAATCAGTTTGGCAGTGTAACTCATTGTGTGATTGATCGATCAAGAGAACATGCTTTAGTATTTTTTCAGCAGGTAGTTTACTTTTATAGTTTAACAGTGTTCTAGAGATACTGTTTGACTATTTCTAAGGAAATAAGTTAGTAAATAATTATTTAATTTCCAGATCACTCATGCACAGCTAGCAGTTACTCAGATGCGTGGTGCTATCATGAAAGGAAGAAAACTACAAGTAGACTTTGCATCCAGAGAGTGTCAGCAAGGGTTTTATGAACATTTGGATAAAACATCTGGTGAACTGAGTCCTAGGTTTACTAGCCAGCAACAAGATAATATTGTTCAATTATCTCCTGGTAGTAATAATGGTCTTGCTATTCGAGGTTTTGAAACTCCATCATCATCGTGTAGTAGTGCTGCTGGTGATAAAAGTTACCCTAGGAATTCTGATGAACCACGAAGTAACTCAAGCTCAGTTCCTAATCCTCAAGATATGCATAATTTACAAAAAGAGCGTGTCTCCTTATTGGAACAACTTGAAGATTGCAATAGTTCTGGTGATGAAATTTTAAATGATTCATCAAAAACCAAGCAAGTAAAAAGCCGTTCTGGCACTCCTTTATGTGATGAACGCCCACCGGAGAGTCTCACTCCTCCAACACAAGTTCCTAGATCTCATGTACCGATCTCGCTACCATTGCCCAGATTTGCTGTGCACGTCTCTAACCCTCTGCTCAGCCCACCTCTCAGTTCTCCAAGAAGGCCGCAGTCATCAAATTCTGATGATTCCCAAACGTCTGATCCTGGTGCGCCCGGTCTAGAAGAGAGGTTGAGAAGTCTTGATGAAAAATATGAACAGTGGAACGGTTCCAGAACAAGTGTATTGAAACTTGATTCTTCCGTTAGATTACGCTCTAGGTATAAACTGTTAGATACAGTGGATAAATTAGAACCATCAGACATTGTCAAATCAGTATTGGCTAAACCAAGTGTTTTTGACGAAGATTCTAAAAGGCTCGAAAACTTCTCAGATAAATATATACCTAAAGAATTTGTTCCAACAAGGACAAGTCCTAATTTACAAAATTTCCGACATCAACAACTGGGTTCATTTTCACCTCTAACACCATCAAGTAGTGGTTCTTCAAAATCTCCTCCAGCTTCATCGCCAGCCACTGTTAAAACACAGTATCCATTTCCAAGTCATCCTCAATCAGTTACAACTACTCAAAGTTGTAGAACTTCACCCATAGATCCTCGACTTCCATCAGATCCAAGGTTGTTAATTGATCCTCGTTTATCTGTTGCTGATCCTAGATTATCAGCTGATTCGAGAGGATCATTTTTAACCAAACAAAATATATGTACAATTAATGACAATAGATATGTACCCGATATATTAAATACCAAAGACCCTAGACATCCAATACATAAAGATGCTGAAATAAAAGACGGTCCAGAAGCATTTTATAGAAGTAAAATTCGCGATGAATATACTAAAAATTGGTTACATACATTTGAACGAAAAGAAAGTGAACCAACTTACAGGTTAGTTGACTCTTACGATCGTAGAAGGTTTAGTGATTTTAGAAAAGAAGAAGAAGAAAAAATTAAATTAGAACAAATAAACAAACAAAAGCTCTTAGATGGATTTGTCATCAAAAGAAAAAGTTCTAGTGAAACTGTTGTTCATCCTAGTCCATTTCATGTTAGTTCTAGTGATAAAACAAAGAGTGTTGATGAAGCTAGGAACTCTATTGAACCCAAAAAGTGTGAAGATGTAATACTTAAGCAAGAAGAACACACTGAATTAAAACAATTAGCTGAAGAAATAAAACCACCTGAACCTCCACAACCTCCACCTTCTTCTATAAGTAACATAGATGAAGAAAAAATTGATCTCATTACTGCAGAAAATACAATTGCAAATATTTTACTTTCATCTATTGACAATGTTCAGAAAAAGACAGATTCTGAGGATGTAAAAGTTAAAATAGAAAGAACTAGCTCTAATGAATCAGTTAGCAAATTTACTTCAGATACAGATAAAAAGAAAGATGAAGTTATAAAAAAGAAAGAACATGAAAGAAAGAAATCTATTGATTTAGATACATCTAAATTAAAAGAGAAAAAGGAGGTTGATTTGAAAAAGAATTTATGTTCTTCTAAATCAAAAGAACTCGAAGTTAAATCTAAGGAATTAGAGTTTAACATGTTTGAAATTAACCGTCTTAACAATAATAAGAAGAAGGAAGAAACACTTTTATTGAACGGTAGTAAAATAAAAGATTCCGAAAAGAAAAAAGATACAATCAAACAAGATAAAAAAATTGAATTAAAAAAAGAAGAAAGAAAGAAAGAGTTTTCTCATTGTAAAGAAACTGATAAAAAAGATGACAGTGACAAAGTTAGAGAAAAGAAAAAAGAAAAACGTGATAAAGATCCATCAAAACATAAAGAAAGAAAAAAGAGTCTTGACGAAAATGGTAAACAAAAGCATGAAAACAGTAAAAAAACAAAAGAGTACAAAGTCAAAGAGGATGAAAAATCACATCAAGTAATTGCCACTGATTCAGATTGTAAAGCAAATGAAGATAAAGAGCCAAAGAAAGATAAAAGAATAGATAGAAACAGTATAAGTAGTAATAGTTCGACAGGTCGTTCTTCAAAGAGAAGGATGAGTGATAGTTCAGAAAATTTAGATGATTCCAAACGTTCAAAACAAGAAAATAAAATTTCAAAAGACAAACAGAAAAAGAACTCTGAAAAACACATTTCATTTATATCTAAAATTTTAGATGCCAAAAATAAAGATCAAAAGAAAGACTATCATGAAAAGAAAATTGAAAAGAAAAAAGATGAAAGAAAAATGATTAAAACTCCAAATCTTACTGAAACGGATGATGATGATGAAGACGAAGAAGCCAGAGAACGAAGGAAAAACCATTCAATATTTGAAGTGGTGCTTGATGAGCCTTATGTATCTATGTATGATAAGGTAAAAGCTAGATCCACCAAAAATATGCAAAAACAAGAAGAAGAAAAACGTCAAGAAAAACTGAAAGAAAAATTCAGCCAATTAAAGCAAAGTCGAGCAAAACGAGAAGAGAAAAAGAGATCGGCATCTTATGATGGGGATTCGGATTCTGATAGAGGTCTTAGACGTTCTTCAAAACTTATGATAACTAGTTCAGATGATGATGATGACTACTTTCGTCGTAAAAATCAAAGACCTGTTTCAGATTCTTCTGAAAATGAAAGACCAAAAATTCAAAGAACTGTTTCAGATTCATATGGAAGTGAAAAACTTAAACAAAGAATATCAGAATCGTATGAAAATGAAAGAATTAAATCTCAAAGAGTATCAGATTCTTCAGAAAATGAGAAAATTAAAAAGTCATCCAAATTTAAGTCCAGAATTCAGTCTGAGTGCAGTGATAGTGATGATGCATTTATTCGTAAAAGTTCATTTAGTTTTGATAGAATTCAAAATGGTATTGAAGCTCAGATCTATAATGGTCATCAAAAGAAAAAGAAACAGAAGAAACCCAAATCAGACTATTCAAGAATGTCATCAGTTGACAATGCTTCTGATAGCACTCTTAGATCTATTAAACAGAAAAAGAAAAAGCATTCTACTAGTCGCAAATCTAATATTAATGAACGCATGCAAGATATATTTGGTTCTTTATCAGACGAAGACAATGATAAGACAATTGTCAATAAATGGAGTGTATCTGATGTTTTTGGAACTGACTCTGATACTGAATTTGAACGAAAAGAAAATAAACCAAAAATTGACATTAAAAAATACGAGTATGGAAATGATGTATTAAAATCACTATCTCATAATGTTGATGATGTAACTAGAAAGAAAAAGAAAAGAAAGAAGGACAAAGAAAGAACAAAAGAAGAACTTAAGGATGAACGTAAAGATGAATGCAGAGAAATAAGAAAAGACGAACGTAAAGAGGATCGTAAAGAAGATCGGAGAGACGATCATAAAGATAACAGAAAAGATGATTGTAAAGATGAACAGCGAGATGACCGTAAAGCTGAAAGAAAAGATGACTATAAATCTGAATTGAATGATGATCACAGAGCAGAACTTAAAGAAAAACAAAGAGAAATTTATAGAGAAGATCATAAAGATGAAACTAGAGATCATCGAAAAGATGAAAATAAAGAAGATTATAAAAATCGTAAAACTGAATTAAAAGACAACATCAAAGACGTTGAAATTGAAGAGAAAAAACAATTAATAGTCGATAGAAAAAATGATATTAAAGAAATGAAAAATGATAAGTCTTTATTATTAAGTATAGATGAAAGATTACCTAAAGAAACCAAACATTTTGAAGAAATAAAAGTGATGGATAATCTCCAAACTATAATTGAATCTAAGAAAAAACCCGAAGAAGAATTTGTTGCTCCTAATAGTGGTGTAGCTATCACTCCAGAAAGAGAGAATGTATTTTCTTCATTTTTTGATTTTGATGATTCTAAAGGCCCTGAAGATGAAACAATTACTATTTTTAAAGGAGATGATGACACTATTAAAACTGAAGTAATGTTTAGAAAATTAGATGAGTCAAAAGAGGATGTATCATTATTTCGATCTGCTAGTACATTTGAACCAATTCAAAGGGAAATTATTGGTTTTGGATCACAGATGGACGATGAAACTGCTGTTAAAAGTATTTCTGAAACTCCTGAATGTTTAATTGAAGAATCAGACCATGTTGAATTGTCTTCCACAGAGGAAAAAACAACTCCTGTAATATCCCAAGAAGAAACTGAGGGTGCTGTTGCTGCATTACTTGAAGCATCATTTGGACAAGATTTTTGCGATTCTTCTTACTCAGATAGATCCGCTAAACCAGATACTCCTATTTCAGATAGTGAACTTCAAATTGATACCGATGATGAAAATAGTGTTAATTCAATAGACGATGAAAGTAAAAATAAAGTATTAGAATCATCTGGAAACTCAACTAGTATGAAAAAGTTAGAAGTAGTCAATGAAAAATTAGAACCAAGTGATCCTGTAATATATTCAGAAAAAGAATCTGAAATGGTTGATTTTGAATCTAAAATTGCTGAAAAAAAATCAAAATTTAGTGAAGAAGTACCATCTCTTAAACACACTGATGTAAAACCCCTGTCTCCTCCTCCCTTAAGTCATAATTTTAGACTTCCACAGATGGTTATTCAACAAACTAGTATAAGACCTTTGAATATAAATTATGCCAAACCATTAATTGAGCCTAAACCAGTTCTACACCAAGAAACTGCCGAAACAGTTCATAAAACACCCAAATTAGAACATAAAACTGAAGATCATGTGTCTGTTGTCAAATATTCAAATTCTCAAATATCGACTAAATCGATTTTAAAACAATCTGTTATATCCTGTAATCCATTACCTATTGAACCTAAACAAGAATTTATCAGTCAACCATCAGTTTTACAACATACTAATAATACTCAAAGTTGTATTATTTCTCCAAAAATTATTACTGAATGCGATAAATCAACAGTTGGTTCTAACTTAGAAAAACAACACACTGAAGAAATCATTGAAAAATCTAATCGCCCCTCTGAAGATACACTATCTAGTCAAACATCTATAATAAATTTTGCTAAAAAATCATTTGTCTCTGATGAAAAGTTAGAAGCTAATGATGTTTCCAATTTAGCCCAAAGTCAAACTAAATCTCTACCATCGCCAAATATTGAACTAGCTGTATCTGAGACTGATGATAAATTTATGCCGAAACATCCTAAAGCAAAAGGCTTAGAACGTATTGTTGAACAAATTAATGAGAAAATGCGAGCTAAAGCAAATGAAGTAGCTTTGAATTTGACTAAAGAACCAAGAATGATGCCGTTAAAGAAAGCACTTATTGCCAAAGAAAAAGATGAAAACAGAATTGAAAACAAAGTTGAAAATCATGATGTTAAATTAAAAATTGTGGATATGGAGTCACCCGAAGATTTAGTTGTGGCACCATTAACACCTAAAATCGAGGACACTAATGAAATATTTGCAAGCCCTGGAGAAAGTAGTTGTGAACCTAAAGAACTTGATGCTGCTAGAATAAAAAAAGAAGATGAATTTATCAAAGATATGTCTAAGATTGATAGAGGTAAGATTTTTATTTAATACTTTTAATTATAATAGTCATAACTAATAATTTAACTTATTCGTTAGATTCAACTGTAAGAGGAAGACGAAGAGGTGGTAGAGGAGGTCGAGGTAACCGTGGAAGTAACTGTGTTGTAACTTCACGTAAAACACGTCAAAATTTAGTAACGTCAAATATGTCTCAACAAAATTCATTGACAGATGTTTATGAATTTACTGATGAAGAAGAAAAGATTAATCAAAAATACAGTAAATCTCCAGAACCTCCAATCATGAATACTCCAATTAATGTTGCAACATCCCCTCAACCTGGAGCTTTAGCTAGTACTTCACCTTTGACACGAAAATCTAGAAGACTTCAGGTGATTATTATTTTAAGATTTATATCAATATAATTAATCAATTATTTTCTATTAGATGTTAACAATATAGTGTTTAATGAGATATTAAAGCATTATTTATTAAAAATTATATTATCTCTGATATATCTTAGGTTATAAGTAATTATTTTTAGTACAATTCATTTATATAAAAAATTATTTTATTAATGTATTTTATTTTAACATTATAGGAAAAAGATGGTAGTAAGAGTACTTTAGAGGAAACAATTGATGAAGTTGCTCGTGGGCCATGTACTAGGCGTATTACTCGCTCTAAACCTCAAACTGTACCATTGTTAAGTCTAGAAACTTCTCCGCGAAGAATAAAACAATTAAATGGAAAGAAATTAAAAGCTGAATCGCCTCAACCAACTTCTAAAATAGAAACTGATCCATCTAATGATCAGAATGATGATAAAAATCAACTTTCAATTTCAACGTTATCTACATCTTCAGCTTCATCTACTACTTCTGAGACAACTACACTTATTGATCCTGTTAGTGGTTTACTAATTGCTATGCAAGAGTCTGAAGAAGGACAATATGTCCCAATTGAAGATGGAGGTGATAGTGACAGTGGAATGAAGTTCATGTCTGATGAACCACCTGAAAAGAAACAGCGTATTGAAAAGACACCTACTCTACCTAAGAGTAGTAATACTATTCCAGCTTTAGCAGTAACACCAAATAATATACTTCCTGCAACTACAACAACATATGCTGTTACACCTGGAATGTCTAATGTAGCTAAAACACCATGTGTTATGACTACTGCAAATTCTGCACCAATTGGCCTTGTAAAACCAAATATAACAGCTTCTGTAATAGCACCTACAAATATAGTAAAGTCTACTGCTGTCATGGCACCATCTCCCCCTCCTTTCAAACCCCAAGCAAATATTAGCAAAATAAATCAACCCGGGTCAAATCATCAACAAATATGCAAGTCTGCAGTTATGCATCCACCTATCAAAACCCATTTAAGTTCTATTAGTCGCACACCACCTTTGCCAAAATTATTATCACCTAAAGGACATATTGTGCAAGCTTATACATCATCACAATCTTTAGAGGCCAATAATTCTAATTCTTCTTCACATTTACCACTTCAATCACCTTTGGCACATGCTCAAAGTGTAAGAAGTCCTCCAATGAGAAATGTGTTAAGTCCGCCTATTAGAGTTTTAGTAAACTCTCCATCAAGGGGTTTGTTAAGTCCTCCTTCTAGAAATATTCCACAGTCACCTCAACCACCTCAAAATCTGCATGGTTTAGCAGTGCCACCACCCAATGTAAGTATTACAAAAATAAATGTTTTTTAATTAGAGAAATTTGTTTGTTGTACAGTAAAACATTTACTATTTGCAGGCTAATTGACATAAGCGATATTTTATCAAAAAATTTCAGATTTAGTTGATTTGAAGTATCCATAAGTTACTTTCATATTTTTAGGGAAAAAATGTTGCTTATGCCAACTAGCCTGCAATCAATTAATATAATACTCCATTATCATAAATAATGATGTAAAATTGTATTCACCATATCAAATAAATAAATCGTAATCTTAATAAACTTTGATTGTCTTAAAATCCGATTTATTGTAAAAAAAATTCGGTTTTAACAATTAATTCTGAAGTTAGAATTTCATAAAACTCTTAATAATTAATACAGAGTGATTGATTTATTGTTGATCACTTAATTTCTTCTAAAATAATAGTAATTTAGAGAAAGTTTTCTTCTGCTTATTTAAGTATTTAAATAAGTAATAAATAATTATAATTATAACTAATAAAAATTACACTCAAAATCCCATTACGGATTTTTCCATCATTAATAATTCCATACTTAATTAATATTTATTTATTATATTTTTTAGATAATTTGTCCTAAAGGCTTTGATGGTTCAAAAATGGATAACTCTAGATGTATAGTTATGAGAAGCCCATCACCCCATCCATCATTACCTGGTCAGACAATAGCATATGACACAAGTGTTGATCCTGCTGCAATAAACATGGTTTCAGCACACCATTATATGCATCCACAGCTTTTATATCCACATTATATAAGAGACTCTTTGGGAGCTTACATTCCACCACGTAAGTTATTATTAATTATGATAATAATGATATAATGATTTCAAATAACCAATTATATATTTATTTAACTATTCTAGGTACTGTTAAAGTAGTTTCAGAAATTGATGAAATGTCACCTCTTGAACTACGTAAACGACTTGCTGAAGAGAGTATACCTGATAGAATTCAGCATGTTAATGTTCCTCAACATTACATCAGTTCAAGACAATTAAATCATCCATTAGGTAGTCTTCCTTATGGTCAAGTTGTGCCAATTCATTACAATTACCGCCCCATTAATTCAGTGTTAAAGGTAATATATTTATATATATAATAGTTATATATATATATATATATAAACTTAAAAAAAAAAAATTGTTTCAGAACTATCCTATTTATTGGCAAGGCACCCTTGCACTAAAGAACGATAAAGCTCTTGTGGAGATGCATTATCTGTTTGGAAATGCTGCAGTGGCTGAGCACTCACTGCAACGAAATATTGATGGAGAACTTAAACTTTCACAAAGGATGAGATTGGAACAAACTCAACTAGATGGCGTAACACGTAAGATGCAGGTAAAAAATTTTATATTTAACAAATAATACTTTATTAATTAAAATTTTCATGTTTATTTCTTGTGTTTTTAATTATTAGATTGAAGACGAATGTTGTGTCTTAATTGCTGTGCCAATTGGTATGACTGAAGAAGAGTGGAATCAGCAAAGTTGCACATTACATAATGGGTTTATTACCTATCTACAACAGAAGCAAGCTGCTGGCATTATTAATATAACAGCACCTGGGAGCACTCAGGTAAATAAATATATTAAATGAAAGTATTAAAAAATTATTTAATAATGAAAAAAGGTTAATTTTCATTTAATTAAAAAATAATTTTTATTATTTGTTTCAGAATGCATATATTGTACATATGTTCCCACCTTGTGACTATATCAACAGTGTTCTATCAACAGCTAATCCTTCTGTATTGAAACAAATAGCATCTATGGCACATCTAATAATTGTCATAGCAACAGTGTAAATAATTTATAATGAGTACAAATTGTTTCTTCTAGCACATTAGGTGCACAAATTATATTTAGTTAAAAAAAAAATCATTAAGAAATTTAATGATATTGTTAACAGTTTTATTATTATTTTTTTACGCATTAACAATTTGTTATTGAAATATAATGCTAATGATTTCAAATTGGTTACCATAATTTAAGATGTTTTCTTGTAAATATTGAAAATCCTGTAAAAACAAAATTTACTGTACAAAATATTTAGGAGTAAAAATTGTTTTTTTATTTAAAATTTTTGTTATTTATTTTTCAAAAATTCTAACTTTTTTTATCTCGATTTTTTATTATTATTATTATTATTATTATATAATTATTATAATTATTACTATTATTATTTATTTATTTGTAGAAAATAAGGTAGACTTAAAAAATTAATGTAATGTTGTTGAAATATTTTGAACAGCCAAAAGGTAATTTAAGTAACAGAAAACAATGTGTGTTTATTATTGTAATTAAAGTTTATTAATTTAAAAATTGACAGTATTATTTGGTAATATGTTTAATGTACTTATATAGAATAATATTTCTTGTACGAGTTTTCGTGTTAATATATTATGAAAAAACTTGTTGAGAAAAATAACTACAAAATATTTACCTTTATGTATAATTCATACATTACATATAATAAAACAAAGTAAAAATAGGAAAACAAAAAAAAAAATAATCTTTACACTTATGTATATAATATTAAATAGTATTCTACTGTTTAAATGCGTTTTGCTCAACTAATTTCTAATTGCAGTCAAAATGATAATAGTAATATCATAGATGTTCTTACAATGTAAGTATGTATAGCATACTTTTACTATATATAAATATATAATTAATTTAATTTACATGTTAGATTTTATTTTTTATTTTGTGTGAATATTATATTAAGTTTTTAGATCCATTAAACATATTGCATTGTAAATTGCCCTCTTTAGTATGTATTAAACAAAACATAATAAATATATATATATATATATTTATATATATGTAATATTGTTCTTTGGCTGTGATCTCTGCATTAAGGTTCACTGTTATAATTTGATTGTATTATAATTTTTTAAATGTAACATGTGTATAAGATATGTATTTAAATTTTATTTCTATTAGTTATCATTATGGAATATTAAATAATAATAATGATAATAATAAAGAAAAACTCACTGTTTAGAAAAATAAACATGTTTTGTTTAATATATGTGTATCGTTATATTATTATTTAAAAATAATATATTATACTAGCAAAGTTAGTTAATGGCTTTAAATAATACTTCAATATTTAATTTTCTATCCAAATTGTCTAGAATATTACTAATGAGTTTATTTATTAGTATTATTTATCCTAAATTCAAATTGTATTTATTAGCAAATCAGATTATACAATGAACATGGTTATAATCTTTTTATACTAAAACAATTTCATTCTATTGAAATTTTTAAGATGATTTAATTATTTAGTGCTTATTTTTAACCGAAAGAAATTATAATTATAATTTTACTTAAAATAGAAAAATTTGAATTTATTACCTAAGAATTATTGACTTCTAAAATGTTCACACGATAACAAGGGTCAGATATGAGTTAAAATGTAAACTATTGTTATACTACAATTGTTGAAATGTGAGCAATTTATACATACAACTAATTATTAAAATGGTTTTTACTTAAATATTTACAAAATTTTATGTAAAAAATAGTATTCTACCATAGTTTACTTATTTGAAAACCTTTGGTACTTGATTTCAACATGTTACAATACAGATTTGTACTAAATTTTAACGAATCTTTATTCAATCAATGAAAGTGAAATCTATTTAACTATCAAAAAATTAAAAATATCTGAAGGTGATCATGAAAACTAAAATTGTAATATCTTCTTTTTCCAGTATCTAAATTACACTTAAAGGAGTAAAAAGTGATATTGATGTTGTAGAAATTTTGATGAAAATTAAAACTTTAGTACTATGAATTCTTAGGAATCATCGTCGGCAATATTAGATATCATTAATTGCACAATCTCGTGGTAAAATTTTGGTGTCGATAAACGTTCACGAAATTTCACAGGCGTCTAATGTTCCCGTGTTGGTAGCCCATTGAAAGTTCTTAACGAGACATCCGCACATCGTGTGTACGATTATGATATTGTATACATTAGCCCTTATGAATCCCTGAATTGATTTTGCTGTTTGTTATAAAACATTGATATTTTGTAAAATATTAACTGTGTAAACTTGCTGTGGATTACCTTATGAGCCCCGTTATGAAATTAGCAAATTTATAAAAATTTATAACTAGTGCGACGGAAGTGTAATTAAATTTGATTAAAATATGGTTTGCACATGGATGTGGGTAAAATTCACTATGGCGAAAATAATAACATTTCTAAAATACACTTAGATGGAGCAGTTTAATTTTTCTTTATGTATAAACCTTCTATGAAAAAACCATTCACGTAACTTCAGGAAGTATATTTTTAAATACTAAACATTTATAAGGATGATTTTTTGCGAGCAACATTACTTATTTTATTTGTAGATAGATCCAGTTCTGACTACTGATAGTCTTACATAATTGAGTAACGTAGGAGTTGTAAGAAGTTTGATAAACTAGGTTTTGAATTAAAATATATAAATAGTACCGACTTCTAAACTATATTTTAGACCTTTATTAGTGTCGGAATTATGAGGAGTTGACCCAGAAACTTGTCAGAGTTCTGTACAAAAATTTGTTTAAAAAAAGTTTTTAGGTAATTAGTTTATTGTGTTTGATTCCTGTGTTTATAATATTCCTACAGACAGATATATTAGAGAGCTAGTATTAACTGTACGATTGTCAAAATCAATTCGTAACAATTGTCAATTGGAAATAATGAATTTCCGTGGTAATGTTGTTATCTTTAGATAATCTACATTTTTTGATTAGTTAATAGTACAGATAAAGTTATCACTAAAAATAATGCATGTCTGTTTTCGAAATTGCCGACAATATTATTTCATGATACTAAGTACAATTCATACCTTGTAAATTTATCAATTATAATATAATTTTAGATAATCATATGAAATTATTTCTTAATTAGATATATTTTTAAACATTTTTTAATGGCTGAATTGGGAAGAGTTAAGGTAAATTTACATATAGTATGCTTCAGTAAAATTAAGTTTCTACTTTTAAAATTAATCAAATTTTTGTTTGAATATTATTAATAAATTTAAGTATGATTGAAATCGCTATATATAGCTATTTTTTTTTTCAGCAATGGAATACATTTGCTCGCTGTTGGCATTTATTTGATGCTACTTGGCAAAACCCTTTGGAATGTGCAGCAACTATTGAAAAATATCTAAAAGGACTTCACAAACCAATTTATCATCCTTATGGTAGTTATAGATAATTTAATTTTTAGTCAGATGCATGTATAATGCATCAAACAAACTTAAAATGTATATTATATTTGCATAATTTATCCAACATATAATTAAAAACAATTATCAATAAAAACAAAAATACAACAGAGTTTTATTAGATGATTTATATTATGATTCATAGAGTTTGTTATCACTAATTTCAATATTTTAAATGCACTCTTTTAGAGGTTTGATTTTACTAAAAAAATAATTAATTAAAAACTAAAATGTTTAAATGTTTTACTAAAGAAACTAACTTTAATTATATAATAATATTTTTAGTGGATTCTGGTGATCATGTTGTAGTTATTAATAGTAAAAAGATTGCTTTTCCTGGTGATGAATGGCGAAGACGTGTATATTTTCATCACACTGGCTATCAAGGTGGAGCAACTTGGACACCAGCTTGGCAATTGCATGATAAAGATCCAACAATGGTAAATAGTTTTTCAAATCAATCAATATATTTAAACAAAAATTAGAATGATAAGATTGCATTTACTTATATCCTTTTTTTAGCAACACAAACTAATGTATGGTAATTTAAAAAAAACATAAAAAAATTAAAATTTTTGTAAACTATAAAATATTCTATAATGAAATATTGAAAAGAGATTATAATACCAACATTTTTGTTTGCATTCTTACTCGAAAATATTTTCAGATTGCATTAGTTTTTTTAATGTATGCCTTAGTTACAAGATGAATACATTGGTAAATCTATATTACATTATACAGGGTGATTTATTTAGGATACAATTTTGATTTTCTTAGGAACTACTGTAAATTTTTAATTTTCATAAAGTAAAGATTTTGGATTTCATTGGCTAGACGTTCTCCAAATATGGTATTCCAAATAGGATTGAAGGTTTTTGTTGTTTGAAATTGGCAACTTATCTATTTATAAATAATTGTCTTCTTAATGATAGTGATTTTACTTTTGGATACTATTAATTGGGCTATTTTTTAAGCCGTCTAATAGTTATTTTAAACAAGTATTTTGTATAGATTCAAGGAGTGATAGTGTTTTGTTTTAAGCAATATTGTAAATTATTGATTCATAATTATATATCTTAAACCTTATGATTGTTTTGTATATTTTTGTGAGAGATTTTGCATCATTATCAAAATTATACGACATTTAATTGACTAAATTATATCATTGTTATATGTCGTGTACATACTTACATATTTATATATACACTTACTGATACTTTATCATACTTTTCCTTTCTCTTATAATTTTTATACATTTATAGATTTTTAGAAAAGCAATTTATCACCACATGAAAGGAAATTTATTTAGAAGAGTAGTTATGGAAAGATTACATATTTATCCAGATTCAAAAGTACCAAATGAAATAATGGAAAATGTCACTAACCAGATCAGACCGCTTCGGTCTATTCCAAAAACTTTAGATTCATATAGTCCAGAGGAAATTGAAAAATATCCTAAAATTATAGATTATCCTGAGGATTATGTTTTGAAAAAAAAAGAATAATTGTTAATATATTTAGTATGTATATATTCAGTTTTGTTTTTAGTTGATAAAAAAAATACATTTTTTTCTTAAATTAATGTTATTTTTGTACTAATTATTATTTAAAAACATGCTTTATTACACATTTACAAGAAATAAATGTCAAGGTGATAAATTTTTTAAATTATTTTATCAATAATATTGATGAAGATTTTTAATTAATTATTTCTTCAATATTTAGTTTTAGACGATTGATTTGTTTTGATAATAATAATGATAATAATTTTCATAAAAATAATGAAATAATTCATATCACTTAAACTCTTATTCATTAAACTGTTATTGATTATGGTATAAATTTTATTTTTGAACTCTAATGTTAATATTTTATGTTGTAGTTTATTATAATGTCTTTTTTAATCACTATAAAAGATAAAAAAACAAGACGTGAAATAACTAATTTTAAGAAAGTGTCAGTTATTTGTTATCGCACTAACAAAGTTTGTGAGTATTTGGATTTACTTTTGATAAAAAATTCACCTAGAAACCTCATATAAAAGAAATTAAATATAAAGTAGGGCCTAGCTTCAAAATCACCAATGTATTATTTTACTTTAATCGGGGAGCTGATTGGAACATACTATTAAAAATATACAAAACAATCATAATACCCAAGAATATAGTTCAATAATATTCAATTCAGCTAATTGAGAACGTATACACAATTAGAATCTTTACATTGTTTAAGTCTCTGACTATCATCTGAACTTTTTAGAACTAGCCCAACAGTTAAATACTATGCGAATTAAATGAATTTTACCGTTAGTACTAAAACTACACTAAATCACGTCTGACGGACGTTAAAAATATAGATAAGTGTGTAATCACACAATTACACTCTCTCTTATACCAACCAGTAGCAATAAATCCACTGAAAATACTACCGCAAACACTTCTACAACGCTTCATAAAATACAGTAAGTCAATTTTTCTTCCACTAACAAAGGTAATACATAATAAAACATTAAACCAACCATACCAAAAAATTAATTTTTAAGAGTCAATATAAAATAATCGGAATTTATAAAACAAATACAGATCAAGAAATCTTTCAAAGCAAGTTTATTAATATCATTAAAACTAAATTATTCGATTAACACTAGTGAACTATCATTGTAATTATTTAAAGTCTTGTAAACGAGCATATGATTGATGTTAAAACCCAAAATATTAAGTAAAAAAAATATGTTTTTAAAACAAATTTCTGTAAAATTTGTTCATATTTTTATTTTTAAATTTTATGTTTTAGTTTATAATGTTTCTTTTAGAATATTACTTATTTGTTATAAATCATGCATTCAAAATGTATTCTTAGTTTGAATTATTGTTTATTATTAAAAATATTAACACACTTGAGCAAAAATTTGTTATAGTATTGTAGAGCAAATTAAAAAAATTTATTAAGATCTTATATAGTTTTTTATAAAAATTAAAGCACTAAATATATTAAAAATATATGTTAGTGTTTAATATTAATTTACTAGCAAAATCTAGTCTCGGGGTGTTAAATTTTATTTGTTTTTTATAAGTCATTTTTTTGAAATTTCAAATCATCTTGGAAAGAAATATATAAGTATTACCTATCTAATGTTGATAAATAAAAATATAATAATGTAATAATGAATTTGAATTTTATTCAAAGGATTAATGGTGAATTTTGTATCGAGTATTCTGATAATAATTTAAATGTGTTTATTGCGATGTAATTCAAAGGAATTTAATATATTTATTATTATTTACGTATTGTTTATATTTTGATTGATAGTTAGTATGAAAAGAAATCTATAATTTTTTTTGATAAAATACACCGAATACTAGTCTGTAAATATATATTTTTAAAACTTTAGAACTGTAAAGGCTGAAATTTAAAATAATTTTTAGATTAAAATTAAAATTAAAATTTATTAACCTTTTCAAATAAATCAATTGTACGAATACCCATTACGAAGTTGTAAAATCTTTTAAAAGGTTGTAAAAAATTAGGTTAATTATGGGCTAATTTTTTAATTGTCCTAATTTTCACTTATAATTATTAATAATGTAGAATGTAAAACTATACTTAATTTATTTCATTTTTCTTTGGGCATATATTATCATAATAACTTAATCAAAAGTTACAAGAACATTCAGATCTAATAGCCAATTTTTAAATGTTGAATTCATCTCAAATTGTATGTAAATTTTATGTATTTAAAACTTTAACTTATGATTTAATTAATTGCTCTTGTGATTTGTTATTTGAAGAATCAATTATAAAAATTAATAAGTTTCAATATTTTTGTGTTCTTTAATTCTAATAAATTTAACATTTGTCATTAAAAACATATAAAATGTATATATAACTACACTCTAAAAACTATAGTTATTATATTATTACCTCTACACAAGTTTATATAATACAAAAATACATTATTTATAAAACAAATAATTGTAAGTATATCATTAGTTGAAAAAAAAAAGATTTTACATTACATTCTGTAATCCATATCTAACTTATAAATTGTATAAAACATGGCAAATATGTTCAATATTATTATTAAGGATGCTTCATATGCAGTTTAATAATTTATTAAATTAATTATCTGGTATTTCGTTTTGTTCTTGTAAAGTTGAGTAATACTTTCGCCTTAAATTGTCGTTTTTCATTAACCTTTGATACTTTGGAGCTGAGAGAAGATATTTTTCATATTTAGAATACGGCCTTTGGATCTTAATTTTCATTGGAACCTATAATGAAGTTTATAATAAAAATTATTTTACATTAATCCATCTAAGTAATAGCCTTACATCTAATAATAAATCACATTACTAAGTTTTCAAATCTATTAATACAAATTTGTGCTGGATGCTAATATGTTTGGAATAACTTAACAAAATTTATAAATGCAAATAATTCTGCTCTCTAGTAATAAATAATGCATTAATTACAATTTTATTAATAAATTTCACCAATTTGATGGTAAAAAGAGCTTATAATAATCATTTAAATAAGTTTTTATTATTTCTAAAACCAATTTTAAATTTCTATAAACAAAAATTATTTATTGAATATTTTTTGGAGGATAACTTATAAAGGTTAATAGAAATTTAAATCTATTTGAATATTATTAGATAAATAATTTTCAAAAAAAATTGTTTGAATAACTAATTAATGAACAAGTTTTAATAATTTGTTAAAATATTAAATTTTATAACTTATATAAAGTTAATAATTCAGACAATAAAAATTGTAATTAATATTATGCAATAATATTTTGAGTCGAGTTTAGTATTTAATTTTTATTTATCAGCAGACTAAATATTTATTCTTTAATATGATCATTATAAGAAAATAATTTTAAAAATACATTACAACTGCAAATATAAAGTATGTATTTTTATTCTAATTCGCACTTCTAATAAATGCTTGTGTTATTTTTTACCAATAGTATTCTTCTAGGTGAGAGATATTCAATATAATCATATGGAATTGGTACAAAGGATGGATCCAAAGGTGGAGGTTCTGGTCGTTCTTCAGTATATTCGTGTACGGGTGCTGGTGGCTGTAAATTGTTTCCAGGTATTGGAAGAATTTTGGGTTGTATAACTGCAGGTTCGATGGGAGTATCCTTGCCGGTCGGCACAGATATGGATGATACCAAGTTAATTAGGTAAAAATACTGCAAATAATAATTTCAATTATATTTATTTAAATAAAAAAAATGAAGCAATACTTATTTAATTTTAATAATAAAATTGTCCTTTGTTCAAATCAGTAAATTAAACAATAAATTATTTTAATTAATTTGCTTTATTTACATGTGTATTTCACAAAATATATTTTAACATAAAAATATTATTTTGCATTAATTTTTTTAAATAAACGATCGCTTCTTAAAAAAATATGTTAATGTTTTCTGGAGAAAAAAAAACATTTAAAGTAAGGAAATACAAGAAATTAAGAAATGATATGAACAAACTCTTTGTAATCAGAAATATAATATTTTAAATTTAAATGTAAAGAATAGTGCAAGATTATTTGCATATTGTAAGAGTTTAGAGAAAAATATACAATATGTATATATATACTTTTAAATGAAGTTTTTCATACATGAAACAATACATTCACATCTCAATTGAACAATTACATGGAATAGCAGTAAGTTTCTTGTGTATAATAGTCAATTTTTTAAATAAAAGAACAATTTTTTAAAAATTTTATTTTTGTACAACAAATGTAAACAAAAAGTGGCAGCCATTTTATTGTAGGTATTTGGTATTAATATTTTTGCTATCGTGACAAAAACTAGCGCACTTTTAATCGGTTTATTTTACTATTTTATTTTTATTTTATTTATTTGGCATTATCTTTTATATAATAATTAGTAATCTGGTTTATTTTTGTGATTTATGAAATTAAAAAATTGACCTCTAAAACAATAATTGTAAGATGTTTAAAATGTCAATGGATTTTCCTAAGTTTTTTTAAGGGTGATTAATAAAAATAATATTTGTATCTTAATAAATCTTTATTTTATTCAAAAAAATAAAGAATGGTTACAGAATTATGGTTGAAATGATTTGTTAGACAAATCAATGAATGATATTTTGAATAAATGTTATGTGGTTTGTAATGTTCATTTCAATAAGTGTTCATATGCGGAAAAATCTAGACTTCTTACTCATGCTGTCCTTACAGAGTTTCGTAAGTATTAATCAGGTGTATAATTTTTTATTATTTAAGTTGAATTTAAACTATTTTAAAATCATAAAAATTAATTATACTGATTTACAAGATGCACTTAATGTATGTGAAGGGAATATCACTCCAATAAATTTGTCAAATCCTCTGGAAGGTAAAATATACAAATTTTTCTTTTACATTAATTTAATTTAAGTGTAATATTTTCATTTTATTTAAAAATATTCAAGAATATGAACAATAATCATCCATTAATCAAAAAATAATTATTAAATATATTTAGGTAATTTTTCTAGTACTATCACGTTGAAAGAGATAAAATTCAGGATAGTCCATCAATTCAAATTCTTCTTTACTTACTCTCAGAATTAAATTAAAAATTAAGAAATGAAGTGAAATTCATATAAAAAAAAGTGCTAACTTTAGAAACAGGTTGCATTTTTAAGTTAATAAGTATCTTTTAACTTAAATTCTGAAATGTGTGACATACATTTATCTCCTAATTTGTCACTAATTGTAAAAAGTTTTGTTAATTTTACTTAATAGAAATCTGAAGATATTGTTAAAGAGCTCAAAAGGAGCTAAAACATAAAAAGCTTGATAGTTTAATTAATTTACACGTTTTAGATCGTTTGAAAAAGTTAATTTTGCATTAGACTAAATTTTTATTATATTTTAATATTATAAATTGTAATTATTATATATTTGATGTAATGAATGTATATGTTGATTTTGAAACTTCATTTTTATGCTAGTTTATTTTTTTTTGTGTCCAAAAGTACAATATAAAAAATGATATAAAATGAAATATGTATCAATGAAAATTTTTATAAAATCTTTCATCCATTTTTTTAAAATATATAATTTTATTGAATATATATCGTTATTATTTATTGTATTTTTATTATTAAACTAATTATAGTATAGTATTGTTTAAAAATATAAACATCTTGATTAAAATTGTTTTGTTAAATTTAGAAAAAGGTTTACACAATTTTAGTGTTGAAAAGTGGTCACACTGAATTCCCTACATAAAAATGACAGACTATTTCTAATCATCTCCCTAAATTGTTTTGTGTACATTTCTATAAATGTCCATTATTTTTATTCTGTGATATAAGTTTCACCTTATTTTTATCAACTTGTTATGTAGGTAGGTCGAAGTATTTAATAAGAAATTAATCATATCCTTAAAAATATCAAAATATTAAAATTTAGTGTGAGTGAGGATTTGATATTCGTGGAAATTATTGATAAAATTACTGAGAATTACAAGTTTACTATAGAGCAGAGGTTCTCAAAGTCAAATGAATCACGGACCCCCATCTAAAGACCTACAGTTTTAAAGACCTAACCCTGATATGTGCTCNATCAAAATATTAAAATTTAGTGTGAGTGAGGATTTGATATTCGTGGTAATTATTGATAAAATTACTGAGAATTACAAGTTTACTATAGAGCAGAGGTTCTCAAAGTCAAATGAATCACGGACCCCATCTAAAGACCTACAGTTTTAAAGACCTAACCCTGATATGTGCTCGCGGACCCCTGGGGGTCCGCGGACCACACTTTAAGAAACTCTGCTATAGAGTATATGTCAATTGAAAATATTTCTATTTAAATACCGGATATTGAATTTGATATTTTGTAGATGATAGTAATAAATAAGGCTCAGATTTTTATATAAATGCATATTCTTCAGTTATCTAGGTAAAATAATTTTTATTAAAAATGTTGACGTTTCTTAATGTATAGATTCTATATACAGGTTTCCCACCATGATTTACTAATTTGGCCATATAAATTATTAATAAAATTAGTAAATTACGTTGGATAATATAAATAACTTTTGTTTTCATATTTTGACGTATATCAGTAAAAAAGAAAAAAAAACTCCATATATTTGCATTATTACATAGAAGATACATTTATACTAATACAAACACATATTTTTTGTATGTTATATGCATATTTTCCAATATTCTTCGATATAAATTCAGGCCATAGTTATAAAGACTTTGGTGTGACGACAAATCAAATACAATAAATTGCTACATATATTTGAAAAGTTATTTAACAAGGATGTCTACATCCAATGGTGTAATTACACTACTGTATAATCCTTAGGCAGATCTAAAATGTTGATTTTATTTTTATTTTTAGCCGTATTATTATAGAAGCTTTTTATGGGTATATAGGCAGCACTATAGAAACTTGATTCGAAAAACAATTTCCTCAAATTTCAAGCTTATAATATAGGTAAAATTATTATTTTTTTTTGTGTTATATTTATATTTTGTATCATAGATATATATAATTATTTTAAAAATAAAAGTAATCTACATGAAAATACAAATAACATAAGTTATAAGGCTTCGAATATACTTGTTTTTTTAAAGTTATAGAATTTTAAGATTGTTATGAAAAATAAAATAAAAATTGTGTATCACAGATAAAAAACTATGAATATTTAATATAAAATAGGAGATTAATGAAATCTCAACATTATAAAGATCTGAAGAAACGTGGAATTTACTGTACACACTTGTGATACATGCAGAGTTACTACTACATGTATTTTTTTAATTTCTTTTTCTTGACACAGTTTTTAAAAAAGTGATTTCCAATTATAAAGTAAAAAAAATATATTTTACTAAATAACTATTTGAGTACACCATTAAATATGTTCGTTGTAATTATCTAGCACTTATTTCAATTATATTTTATTAAATGTTTACGAATGATATTATGTGTTCAGTATACTATGACATTTGTCAATTTGAAGTTTGAAGTTTGTGCAACTTTGTCGTAGGATTATATAGTAGCTTAGAAAAATTTTTCGTTTTAGGGGAGATAATTTTTTCAATACTATAATATCAATAACAACGTATTGATAAGTTCTAAGGGCATTTAATAAAAGTTTTGTACTGGTTAATGGTGTGTTTGGAATGACTTATCAAAATTTATAAATGCATATAATTTTGTACTCTTATTATTACGGAGTATTTAAAAAGTAAATTTTTATGAAATGTTAATGTAGAAATTAAAACAACAACACCTTAAAGAATTTTAGTACTATACTACATATACATACATTTGTGTACTTAACTATGGTCGCATAAAATATTCTAAAAATCTTGTATTTTCAAACTTTTTAGTAGAACGAAATTGAATTGTCATAACATCAGGCCAAATAAATGGTGTCTTAGCTAAATAAAATAGTTTATTGACTAAGCGCAAATATTACTTAATACACCCATAGTTACGACACTTAGCATATATAAATAACAAAAAAATTTAATCAGGAGAAAAAAAATTCGGGTTTGAAAGTATTTATTATTTATGAACCCAACCCATTTCGATAAGTCTTAAAGCATTGAATAAATATTAGAACACTCGGTCAAGAGGAGAAAAACGATATTACTTCTTAGTAACTATAGCATAGAAATTCAAATGAGGAAGTGTTCCTTTGTTATAAATCTTTGAAAAGTCGAGTCAAACAATATTATCTAACAAAATATCAACGACATTGAAATTTCGATAAAATCCATTGAGTAAACAAATCATACGAAACTAATTGTATGAGTTTCATGAACTCTGAAAGGAAACCTTAAGAGTACACAATATATAATATAAAGTTTATTTTTATACACTGATAATTTTATTTTAGTAAAAAATTATCAACTAGTAATTCAATATATACTTTTTGTTTGAATAAAATTTGAGTTTTTAAGTTTTTCAAGTGTAATATTACATATGAAAATTATGTCATTTATCATGTGAAATTGTGATTTTATTAATGTAAACATTGTATTTTTACCAATCAAACTAAAAACCAGATAAATTCTTAAATCTAAATCTTAACTCCATTTATACACGTATAACATTGCCAGAAGCTAAATTATTTGAAGTAAGATGATTTCATAAGAATTATAACAATTGTTACAACCACAATCAGGTGTTAAATTGTATTATAATTATCATCGTAGCACATATTATTGTTGTTGGTGACCACTGTGTCTTCATAAATAACTTTTCCTAGTTGGTTTGTGTGGTGTCATCATCAAAAATCTAGTTTTACAAGTTGTCTTACTATTGGGCAAGAATACTAAGTCTAAGTAGATATACTTGTTCAAGATGAGCATGCAATATCGATTTTTATCTCCATGAAGAAATCTTATTCTCAAACAATGTTATTTAAAATGGTATCGAAATATTTATGTTAATATCAAGTAACAATTCATAAAAAATTAAATTTAAAACTGTTCTTTTGTGTAGACAAAGTAGGTGTGCATTTTACATTTGTTTATATGACATTGAGATTTAAACAGACGGTGTGACGAATACATTGTATATCAAGTATTTTAACTGAATTATTTCCTTTCTAAATATTAGAACATTTGCATAGTGTTACTGATCGTTGTCAATTATTAAAAGTAGAAATATTTTAATATTTAATGTGCAATGCAGACATTATAAATATAATTAAGCTGATAGAACAAGTGGCGCTAAGTGGGGTTTGGCAACAACTATTTTTGAATATCATTTAGTCACACATAAAACAAATATTTTTTATGATCTATTATCTCAATCCCTTAATTTTTATTTTCCCTTAAAGCTTTAAAGTAAGAAACTTTTATAAGAAAATTTTAATTTTTAGGTATAAGAAGAAATTAATCTTCTCTAATTAAGTATGCTATGATAAATCTTAGCTTTAGAAAAAATGAAAAAATTTTGTAGTATATAGTAAAATTAATTTCAATTTAAGTTTACTTAAGGTACTCTAGGAACGCGTTTCCAAATAATTATTGTTTGGGAATTGATTATTATTCAAAAACAATTATTATAATATTCATTTTAAATTGTTACTTGACACGTATTATTATTTTTAATTGAAAATAATTTCATATGAAATATATGCCTCGAGGATTAATTAAGTATACACAAAAAGGTTCTCAAAGACGTAACAGCTATACATTGAACAAAGTACCTATTGCAGGATTATTGTACACTAACTAATAGTTGGATCAGTTACAACATACATATAGTTTCTGTTATTTGATCCTAGACGATGGTAATTTTAAGAGCCTCAGTTATACAATTGATGTATTCGGTGGTATGCAATTACACACATATAATACGACTGAGCTCGCAACTTTGGATAAATATTAAATAAATGATTTCAAATAGCGTTGTAGTTCTAAAACAATTTGAGAAATTATAGAGTACATTGATGACTCGACGAAATTTAATTTTAAAGTAATTACTTGTTTGAGTAATGTGTCAACTTGTTGAGTGGTACTGAACTTTTCTGGAAACAGTAATTTGTTTTTATTTGTAAAACGACAGCCGTGAGTTTTATCATAACTTTTGAATCTTGCTTTTCCGACGATTATTTTGAGACTACCATGATATTTGACAATCAATTGACTTTTAAAAATTATGCCAAGCAGGGCTTATTGAAAAATTTCAAACTTCAAAATAACTTTCACTTGGGTCAAGTGTTGTTTTTTGATGTTATTAGTATATTTAGCAGTTAAATTAAACATTTTCTATAATAATATTATCAAATTATATAAATATTTTAAGAACGACTGTTTTTGTTTTTCAAGAATGTTTCAAATGAATTTAATGAAATATGATGCAAATATTTTATTTTATTTAGCAAACTTCATGCTAAGGATCTACAAGACGGTCAATTTAATTATTTTTTAAATTGAAACCGTAGTTTTAATTCTTATACAGTAAATTTATTGTTAAACGTATGCTCAATAACGTCATGTCAATAGTGAATGAATACTTTTTTAGTACGTTGGTTACGTTTATTAAAAAAATATAATTTTCTGTTTTTGAAGAACTGAATTTTCTTGTTGAAAAGAATGCTGCTGTTTACATTGGGCTTTTATTTATAAAAAAAAAGACTTTTTAGCAATTGTATTTTTTAATTTATTATTATTACATGTATTTAATAATAGACATTATTTTTTCATCTAGTATGACGTTTCGACGTTAAAGTCCTCCAAAAATTGTTGTAGTTTGAACATTGGATTACTATCTAATAGTTTTAATTATAAGTTAAGAGATTTTTCGTACTTGTTTTGTATCGTGTGCATTGGTTGGAAAATACTAAGAAAATTAAACGGAAATTGTCAGATTAAACATTGGAAAATAAATAATCTTCCACATCTAAAAAACTAACATGAGCGATCATGGCAAGGCTAAGGCGGTGCACGATTGTACCGTAATATAATGATACCTATGGTATGTTTGTAGGACTACTACCTATCATACATCATAGCAAATTATTATTTTTCACAGCTATCGACACTGCATCATTGTCTTCATCGGCAGTAGTAATCATTTCATGTGCATCCGAATAGAGGTCTATCTCGAGGCCATTGAACAACATACCAGAATGCCTTGTTATTTTCAGCGGTTATAACTTCCGTACTTGGGTGTTTTCAACGATACAATATTAGCCTTATTTACAATGTGACACGAAATATGACAATTATTCATTAGAAAAAAAAATTGAATCGCTTTCTTTATTAAAAATAGTCGGATGCCAGAGCAAAAAAATTAATAATGATAATTATTGCTTTAAAATTATTTTCACAGTCTAGCAATAATAGAACGAGATAAATTAAATGTATTATTGTTCCGGAGCTTTTATTCGAGTACATGGAAGAAAAATCTTTTAAAAATGTTTTCATTGATATAGTGGAATTTAATCAATTTAGACACAATCGAGATGCCAGAAAGGTAAATTTATTTGTGATGACAAACATTGTCTGTTTAAATTAGAATAAAATTTTAGCTTTCGTACGTTCAAAAACCGATTTATAAATGATCTTTTATGATCTGTTATGACCGGTAAACAAAAAAAAAAAAATGTAAATATAAGAATTATTACAATTTATACTTAGTAAATAGTTTTTTGTGTGTTCACTAGGGTTTTTATGTATAATACTATTTTATTCAAAAATTTGATGAGTAAAACAAAAATTAAACAGCAACTTTAGCAATATTTGAGCGTTTACCAAGGAATAAAATTAAGGGATGAAAATTATTATTCAAAGACTTATGAATAATACAAATTAATGAAGAATTAAACAAACAACAATATTATGGTCGAACGAGCTCGTCTCCAACTGCTTTGTTACATCCTATTTCGATGAGTACCTTTGAAATAAAAGACAAATGATTTTTTAAGTGCAAAATCGCATGAAACGCAAAAAGAAGAATACATTTGAAATGTGATAATTTATACAATAGTTTTTGTGCATTTCAAGACGGTGGCAATAAGATAACATGAAATCAAAGATTTATTCGACGTCATTAGGTATTGGTCGAATAGAATAATTTCACTTGTAATATGAGTCCTTTAATGAAAATTATATTGTTTAAATAAGTTTATCAAAGTTTCAAATTAATTAATTAATAGAATACGGTTATTAAAGTCAAAATAGTTTGTAAACACGAACAACAATTAGGATATTTTTCCGTGTAAGAGTTATTATAAGTTACTTAATGTAACAAACGGGATGGATCTTCGTGAAGTTATTTTTGACTGTGTCAGTGTGTTCAGGTACCAATCATAAAACTATATCGTATCAAAAGTAATACTGTAATAACCTACGTTGAAAATTACAAGGTATATTAAAAAAGGTTACTTTAGTTTTTATATTATAATTGAATGTTTTTTCTATGTCATAGTATTTAATATAAATATTAAATACTTACGACTAAATTTTTATAATTTGTACATATTATTTATTATATTTAAATCGGATTTTTATTATACTATAATAAAGTATTTATCTGTTACTAGTACTAGAAAATAATAAAATATAATTAAATTCTCTAAATAAGTTAAAATTACAACAATACTCAGTGTTAATATTTTTTAAATATTTTTCTAAGAAAGTCAAAATTTTTGTGATAAATCTAAAAAATTTGAAAAAGTTAAATTTATTTTGAAAGATTACTTTTTTTTTGTTTATATCAACATTTTTAGGTTTCTAAAAAATTGTTTTATGAAATTTTTGAAAATCCTTAAATATTAATTTAATTTTATAATTATTTTAATAGAATGTTTATTTTTTCTAACGTGAAAAAAGTGATGTAGTTCAAAGATGTGCGTAGAAAATTAAAACAATTAAAAAATGTATAAAAACGGTACAAATATATAGAATTTTTCTAAGCTACAATTTGCATCATACAGCACAGGAGGTCTTATTATAATTAATGATATTTCGATATAATTCATTGTAGTATATTATTCTCATATTAAATACGAAATCAACTGGTATAAAATTTGACTCCAACTCAATATATTATACTTATCGTATAAAGTCCAAAACAATGAACTTCTGGAAGTCGAAACTTTGAAATCGTCTATCCCGAAACGACTTTTTAGAGATACGGCCCTCTTGCACTCACACTACGATATTTTTAATAAAAATTTGATTTAAAAGAATTTTCAATTTATGTTTTGTTTTTTAATTATTTAAATTAAAAAGTAAATAATATTTATTCATTTATACCCAATATTGAAACTTTCAGTTTGAAAGTTGACTTTAAATACACTGTAGATAATAATGATAACTCTTTATTGTGTACTTACAGAAATGGCGGTGGTACTTAATAATGCAATCATTTCGAAGACTGAATCTGACAATACTTTTTGTAGCTATGTTGTGTTATCTGCGATCATAAGAAAAATAAAATCAAATAATATTAACGGAAAAATTTAATTCACTAATGTAAAAGTATTAAGTAATTTGAAAATAAATTATAAAACTTATTTAATATAAAGAATACATTTGAATTGAAAAAATGATGAGAAAAACAACATTATAGAAGACGTTTGTGAAGTGACAATGTGTTTATGTGTACATCAGAAGAACAGATACCACAAGGCCATTTACAAGACCTTCAACTCGGCAAAGCAAAAACAGCTGGGGGGGACACAAATATCATACACCCGTTAGCTAAGTGGGTCCTAAGGCATGAATTAGTTTATATTTTAATTTATATGCATAACAAAATCGGTTAATATTTTCAATGATAATTTTTATCACTGAAGAACAAGACTAAATGACAACCTATCATCGAACATTGACTTTAGAAAACAAGACTAATTCATGTTGTAAACGGTTTTTATAATTTTTAATAAAAATTGTACATTTGTGTTCAAATGTAAATTGAGCTAAAAAAATTAATTAATAATAATGGTGCTCTATATTTTCAAGAATACATTTTTATCATTTTGTCTTCATCAATCTCTTACTCCGTTGTTCCATTAAAAATATTTAATTACAATTTATTGTTTAGTTTTTTTTTACCGACTAATTGTATTTATGGAGAAAATAAAATATTACAATTAAAAAAAGTTTTCCGTTTATTATTCATACATAAAACACTATGAGATATTGGATACTTTAATATTTCTTAAAAAATTACAATAATAAAAGTTTTTGTAATTAGCACAGTAATGTTCATCTGAACATGTTCAGTCTATTTGCAATTAAAATAAATAATTGTCATTTGAGATGATATAATTTTGAAATTAATTACAACTCTGAAAGCTAAAACCTTACACATTATTTAATTTCTCTCTGATAAAATAAAGAATATCGCACTTTAATAGTGTTACTATTTGTTGTTGTAACTATCAACTTACTGTATAGTTAAGTAAATTGCGATCTGTTTTTAAAATATTTTACTTAAAATACAATCATGTTTTTCAACTCCAACAGCATACAAAACAATATATCTTTTTATATTTATAATTAAATAGTGTATTTATTGACGAAATTTTAATTAAACGTAAATTCCCAATTCATGGTTTAGTATGTAATTATTTTTTATTATTAAACTAAAATATAAGTTTGAATTAAATTTAAAATAGTTTTCAAGAATATTAGATAATTTTATTTAAAAACACAAAATTTACATAAAAAAAAAATTAATTTTACTTAGTTTTTTGATAGTAGATAAAAATAAACACAAAACATTTTAAAACGGGTTAAAATAAAGTAAGAACTAGTGGCGTATTTTTCATTTAAAATTTTGATTTAAAAGGGTAGTAAATTTTTTACTTTCTCTTAAAATGAATAATATNCTTATCGGTTACCAATACTAATGTTGATGATTCAAGTTTTGATAAATAGAATATTTGAGTAGTCACGAGTTTTAGTTTCAATATAAAAGCTATAACTTATTTGGATGTATTGCACTACGATAAATTTCTCATTTAGTTAAAGTGCACGTGATATAAGTTTTGAAACGACTTATGTGTCCACATAAACGGAGTAACGAGAATACTTATGCCTAGGCCATGTCCTCGGAGAACTATTTAAACTTAAATCGTATGGGAATATTTAATAAATGCAAACCAATATTTAAAGTTTGTTCTATTTCCTTTTCAGGATAAAATAATACTATTATAAATACAAAACATGTGTAATACATACTTCAACTTTAAATTTTGAATCGCATAGTTGTAATATTTATTTTAAATATAAATAAATGAATAAATATTTATTTATATGTAAATATTGGGGTTATAGCTTTCAAAATAACCCAAGGTTGTGATAATAATATGAAATTTTAGTTCAAAGAACGAGTAAATTATTAATTACTATGCGCTTATTTTCTACAACACAAAATTTACATAAAAAAAAAATTAATTTTACTTAGTTTTTTGATAGTAGATAAAAATAAACACAAAACATTTTAAAACGGGTTAAAATAAAGTAAGAACTAGTGGCGTATTTTTCATTTAAAATTTTGATTTAAAAGGGTAGTAAATTTTTTACTTTCTCTTAAAATGAATAATATTATTTGAATTTTTAATATTTTTTGGAATATTTTCATAAGTTTTCAGACATATTTCCGGAATATAATAATTATAAAGTAATAGAAATAGTTCAGTTTAATTATTTTTAATCCATTTTGCTTGTTGAAACGACTTAAAATTAATGTTCTTTCAATAAGAATGACATAAAATTGTTATATTTTAACATAATTAAAATAGTCGGGATACAAAATAAAATTTTATATTAGACTTCATTGCGTTGTTTTTGCTAAGTGGGCAAATTATTTCTAAGTCAATACATTTTTAATTTGGCACTTCAATTTGAAACTTGTACTGGCTGTGCACAACTTAATTAAGAAATTAATTATACGTTTTATTTTACATATTATCTTTACAGTTACAAAATCTTACATTACAATATTAACAAGTGTAATATATTCAATTATTCTCTACGTTTGATTTTATTTACCAGTTGTTTTTTGGATGCAATCGGAATATGTCTAATTTTGTTGTGCCTCAGCATGTCAGTGGCACCGAAATCAAAATAATATATTGCGAAATATTTTTGAGTTTCAACTAATTTTTATTTTATTTTAATATTTAAATATATAAATGAACAGTATGATTTTGTTTTTTTTTCTTGAAATTTACGATATATAACATTTTTTGGGGAAAATTTTGTTTAAGAAACTTTTGAAATAAAAATGATTTGCATTTTAATTATTTTTAGATTTGTGAAATAGAAATAATTGAGTTTAGTGCGAACTAGAAATTATCTATTAATTTATATGATACATACATTATAAATATAAATCATATAAAAATAAATTTAATGATCGTGTATAAAACACATTATACAACGTTTTTAGGGAATCAAATTAACGAAAAATCAAAATGTGTTATTCTAAAAGAGATAATAAATTATATTTTACTAACGAGTGTTTACTGGTTGAAACAAAATCCAGTTAAATGTTTTACTCTTATAACATAATATCGAATGATAAAAAGAAAGAACCTTTTAAACTCGTTTAACATTATAATTCACATATGATATTGTATAGTTTAGTCATATGTCAAAGCTATTAAGTATATCAAGTAATAACTGGCAGTAATCTTTAATGTGTTTAAATTTTACTTATAAAATGTCAATTTTTGTGTTTTCTCTTTTGTAATGTAACTTTAGAGTTAAACAAAATACAAATTTCTCATTTAATACTACAAGATTTTAAAAATTTAGAGTAGAACCATTTAAAGATTTGAATGTATTTTTACCATCCCCAATTTAAAAGTTTCGCGTGATCGGAACATCGATTTGATTGATATAAGCGAAAACAAGAATATAATTAAATAAACAAATAATAAATAAAAATTTCTAGTTGATCACTAAGAATAGTAATTTTTTTCTTTTTTATAGTAATATTATCATCTTGACCTAAATTTTTGCATTCTAGTTTTCTAGTTGAAACATTTTTAGAAACTTTGGTAATAAAGCAATTCATTACGTGTATTTTTCTAGTAAGAAAAATTAACTTAAAATTAACTTAATTTCATTTATTCGAACGACTTGAGATGATTACAGTTTCTTTCTAAAAAAATCTCTTATCATTTAAACCTTGGTTTTTCAATCACTTAAATTAAGCAAAATATTCTCTAATAAAAACTAACATTATAGATAACAATTTTTAAAATTCAAATGTTTTATTTGACTCTTTTTCATCTTATTATTATATTTAATTAGAATAAAAGCTTGCAGGGAACTATTTTAAATATCTTGTTTATATTGTCTCTATGTAATTAATCATAGTCTAGTTTATTGCACAAATAAAATATTTAAACTAGACTACGTTTTTTATCATTATTAAATAACTATTTTTTTTCATAACTTTCTTCATTCAAATAATATAATGAATGTGTTTGAGCTGATTTAATATTATACAATAACACTCAATTCTCATATACATATATAAAACCGGTTTTAAAATAATAAAAAACTGACTGCTGTAAAATCTATATTTTATATATTTTTTACTTATTTACAAAATACAATGAAGTATCTTCTATGGATTTTCCTTGATTATAATAATTTTTATAAGCAAGTTTTATCACTATGTTTGGGAGTATTGATTTTGAAATATTTATTAAAAAGAAATCGGATAGTCATTGAGTTAGTACATTCTGTACTTGGTAAGGATATTAAAAACATTTTTTTTTTTAATAATAATACTCGTAATACTCTTTTAATATTCTAAAGTGCGTTGTAAATATAATAATAATAATAATAATATAAAGCCATTATTTACAGTATGGACCTTAAAACTACATAATTAATTTTGTTTATCTATATTTACCTAAGAAAATGTTGATTATAGTTAATAATGTTCTTGAAGTAGTTAAAATATGAAAACAAATAACTAATGTATTTTATTAAAATTATAAACATTTATACTTAAATTATGTTTACAACCAATTTTTAGGTCTAGTTAGAAAAGTATTGTTAGATAAATATCAGTAAATATTTACGTATCTGTTACACAATAAGTACGTATTAATTTATCCGATAAATGTTTCAAAGTAAAGTCTTTATTTCATTTGTTGAAAAATAAATTTCAAGATTATTTTGGCAATTTTTTATTTCATAACTTTTATTTGATTTCATATATTTTATATGTATTAATGTTACGTATATAAAAGATATAAAATGTTTAATACGACGTATTGAAAATTGTAAGAATTTCTTTGTTAAATTCAATAGATTTTCTATGGATCAAATGATAATAAAAAATTGCTTGTTAGCATAATTTCCCATTACGTCTGTTTAAAAATCTGCCCGATAATTTTGTAAAAAACTGGTTTTCATAATAAGTAAAATTACCTGCATACCGCA